ATACTGTTAATTAAAATCTTTAGCAACAAATATAGTCTTATACCATTCAATTGAACCGTCAGATTTGGTTTTAATCTTATAAATCCAATGACAACCACTAACATGTTTACTTGAAGGTAGTGAAACCAAGTCCCGAGTCCCAAGTGTTTGTAAATAGAGGTTAGAAAGCAACAAAAAGACTCAAAATAATAAGAATAAGCAAAATCAAGTAATTGAGTGGACTTACGAATACGTTGAGAATATCGAGGAAGAGATGGAGAAGGAGTTGAATCAACAATCTTAAGCGGTGCTTGGGAAGCCATAGAAGGAGGAGGGTTATCATGAGTTGGAGCATGTGTACTTGCAGGACATGAAGAATTAACAGTACATGGGGTATGGAAAGGTGGACTATTTATATCATCAGAGAATGAATCAATACAAATGGGGTTAGTTTTAGTCATGTCATGAGTATTATAAAAAATAGAGAAGAATGGAATATACTCAAAAAATACGACATGACGAGAAATATATAATTTATTATTAATGAGATGGAAATAGCGATAACCCTTTTGTCTTTGCCCATAATCCAAAAAAACACAGATAGCAGAGCGAGATGTCAACTTATTACGTTCGGCTTTAGGACGAAGAACAAATTAAGTAAAACCAAAAACTCTCAACAAGGAATAATTCGGAGAATGCTCATACAATGTTTCAAAGGGTGATAAATTTGAATTGTGGAAGATAGAATCTTATTAATTAAAGAAACAACAGTAAAAGCTGCTTCTCTACAAGATTCACTGGGAACTTTGGCTGACAAAAGAAGTGAATGAGCAGTTTCTACAATGTGTCATGCTTTCATTCATCAACACCATTATTGTGGGATATTAGTACACGAGATTTGATAAATTGTGTCGTCAAGAGCAAGTAATTTAGAAAAATCGATTGAAGTGTACTCTCCACTTAAGTCATATCTAAAACATTTAATTATAGTCGAATGTTGAATTTTAAAAGGTGCTCTAAATGATCTATAAATAGAAAGAAAGTCAGATCGTCTTTTTATAAGATAGCCCCAACAATAACAATTGTAATCATTAATAAAGAACATGTAATATCGAGACCCTTCTTTTGTAGCAATACGAGCAGGTCCCTACATATTAGAGCGAACAAAATTAAATGGTGCAACAGAATGAGAAAGACTTTGACGAAAAAGTAAAGCAGAAAATTTTGCTAATTTGCAACCACTATAATAAAAAATGTCATGAGTTCATATATTTCTCAATTGATCTTTAGAAACTAAAAAATTCAAATGATTAGCATAAATATGTCCAAGGCGAGATTGCCACGAATAAAAATTAGAAGACAATGAATTTAAAAAGAAAGATGACAAATCAACACTAGGGGCTGCAACGTGTAGCGGTCTTAGATTGTCCATAACACATAACTTTCCTAGTCTACGGCCTATCCCAATCAGTTTTTGAGATCGAGGATCCTGCACATGACAACCAATAGAAGAAAACTGAACTAAGTATCCAGAATTGCATAATTGGCTAATAGAGATAAGATTCAAAATAAGAGTTGGAACACAATAGACATTTGAAAGTGATAAATTATGTGTATTAATATAACTAACACCTGCTAAAGGCAATGGTGTGCCATCAGCAGTGATAACAGACATAGACGGGTTAGAAGGACGCAAGATATTAAAGAATTTTGAGTTAGATGACGTGTTTAGAAGCACCTAATGCAAAGATCCATGAAGAAGAAATACCTGAGTGACTTTGAGACGACAAACCTATATGAGTGGAAGTTGACATAGCATGTGGCTGTGTGACCAAAAACTTTTGAAACTACTCTGCTAAGTCTGTTAACATGATATTGGAGGAAGGTGGTGCTTTAAGTATAGACGAGTCACTAGATGGCATGGTGGCAACAATGTTAGCATTGGGACAATAGGATCGCTGTTGTGATTGAGGTTGCTGCTTCTTCAATAGCTCAGGGCATTGAGTTTTCCATTATCCTTTTTGTTTACAAAAGTTATACTCATCACTAGCAACTCGCACATAACCTTTATTCTGATTCTGTGTGGACAATCGAGAGGGTACAACCAACATTGAGGTGCCATATAGAGGAAGATATACTTTTCTTGCAAGAGATTTCAAACGTATTTCCTTAACTACAAGTTTACTAACCACTGAATGAACTAAGGAAAGTGGAGTGTGATGCAAGATAGAGCCTCTAAATCCCTCAAAATCACTGTGAAGTGCCATAAAAACTTGAATTAATCGCTGCTCCTCTGTAAAAGTAATATATTCCTCACATGCTTTTAGTCCCGTTGATTCCATAAGAGCCAACTTATCCCAAATTGAATTCGTAGCGGCATAAAATTCAAGAATACTCATATCGTTCTGATGTAAATCCCATACATCAATTTCTAACTGATGCCATTTTGCAAAGTTAGACTTAGTGTATAAAGTGTCCCTAAACTTTCTTTGCTATTTCAAACTTCGCTGATTTTATTACTTAATAGAATTGTGAATCTAAGTGAGAATTTTCTCGATATTTGACTTCTAATTATCTAACTCTGTTACATAATTCTGAACAGCATTATTGAGTTTTACAATAGTTCCACAAACATAACCCCACAATCTTTTTCCATTTAGAAAATTTCTCATCACTGTACTCCAATATGAGTAATTTTTATCATTTAATCTGACACTAATAGATTTAAGTGAATCATCTCTTTCAGTTGACATCATAAAATTAATAAATGATCAACTATGAATCAACAATATCGCCCAATTTTTAAGAAAATCAATGATAACCAACATACCACCACAAATACAATTGAAATATACTGCAAAGTATACATATAGCCAAAGTAAGCTTGTAAATCTGGCTTTTTTCTTTTATAGGGAAGAAGGTAGGGTGGGGTGAAAAATTATGTTTTAAAAATTTGGTATTGTATGTGGCACATATAAAAAATTTGAATTTAATTTGCCAAAAAAAATAAAAAAAACTTGGTTATTACAATTGCAATTATTGCCTTTTAATTTTGACATTTTTTTTTTACCCTTTTTAACAACAAATATGACGAGTCTTGCATAGAAGAGCCATAAATACTTAAGAACTAAAATATATGTACTTGATCGTTGACATATTTGTTAACATTCAATGATGTGTAAAAATCTGTCATTATTTGTTTTAAGTATTGTCAAATCAATGGCAAAAATTATTTACCACCTCACACGTTATCAACCAAATTGTACCTGTAGCAAAATTGACATACTCATTCCTTGAGAGTGTGTGTGCGGTGGTTTGGTGTAGGGATGATAAAAAACTCACTAAACCCGATATCGTGGGGCCCCGCCTCGTTAACGTTGACCACCTCACACGTTATCAACCAAACTGTACCTGTAGCAAAATTGATACACTAATTCCACGCGAGTTTAAATGGGGTGGTTGGGAGTAGGGACAACAACAAAATTCGCCAAATTCGATACCCGTGAGCCCCACTCCGAACAGGGTGGAAATTACTCGCTTAATTGGGTATTCGAGTCGGGGCAAGGCAAGGGACTTCGCTTCAGGCTGGGTATGGATAACAAGGGCCCCCCGTTTAACTTTCTCCTTTTTATTTTTTAAGAATTCAATACTTTAAATGGAAAACCCCAAGAAATTTCATTAGTTTCAATAGAAGATGACAATTACGATTATCTAAGAAATATGACAAATCATAAAAGTTTTAGTTTATCAAATATATTTGAACAATTTAAATTTTATAAATAAATAAATTAATTAAGAAATTTAATAAATATATGAAAAAATTGCAACCACAGTACCAAACTTTTCGTTTATTAGCAGATTTGACTCAAACATTTCATTTGTGTCATCGAATGTAACAAACCTTTAAAAAAATCTCACTTGGAGTTCAAATGGATGAAAATCGTTAATTTATTCGTTAGTTGACCTAGAGTCAACATTTTGACCAAATTTTGATTAATGTTAAAAGGTTAAAATGGTAAAATTATATTTTCTATGAAAAAACAATTAAAATAAAAACCTAAAACACAAATACACTTCATTTTCTCCACATACCCTACACACACCCACCCCTAAAACCAAAACCAAGAACCGAAACCACCATTGCCACTGACTCCATCGCCTGCCGTAGCCGCCACCGCCCACGCCCATCACTACCTGACCTACACTTCAGCTTTATTTGCTTCTCTTTGGATGGCAATTCCAAGATTTTGGAATAGTTGGGCTGATTTTATTTCAACTGTAACTGTTGATTTATAAACATCTCGTTTATCTCTATCCCTATTTCAACTATTCAAATTGATAACCTAATAATTTCTCCATTGATTCCTTTGTTATTCACTCAATTTTGTGTTGAAAGAAAAATTCTGTGATGGTATTCCAACTATTAAAAAAGGGTGGAGCTGTAGGATCTATACTCAAATTTGATTGGAGTTGCCATAACTTATACACGACATTTGAGGATACAGTAGGCAATTGTGCTTTGTTGATTTATTGCTTAAATTCCTGAAATTGGTGGAGCTTTGCGGTGGCGGTGGATTTTAATATGGGTGGGTGGGCAATGATATGAATTGTTTGTAGTGACTTCAGTGGCGGTTGCAGTGTGATGGTTTTGGAATTTCACCCTTTAAAAATGTAGTCAAAATTAATTATTCTGGTAACTAACAAATCCATTTGGAGTCTAGGTTAGATATTTTTAAAAGTTTGGTACCTTCGATGACACAAATGAAAGGTTTGGGTCAAATCTCTTTCCGTCCTGCCTTAAACGGGTAATGAGATGGATATGGGACGGGAAATTACCCGGTGGGACGTTGAGTGGGGGAGGTTGCCCAGCAATCCCTAGTTGGGAATGAGGTTAGTAGGCTGACAACTTACAGCTCTTTTCCGAATGCAAGGAAAAAGCTTTATGATATAATGACATGGCAAAAGTAATCTTGATAGTAGAATATCAATAAAAACTAAATATGCACTTCGGGCCATGAAAATGAAGAACAAATAAACCAGCATAAGATTTATTTCAGAAAAATAGATACAAATTCTGAGATAAGTAAAAACAATCAGCAACTTCTGATGTGTAGAGTATTCTGAAATATAATGTATATTCCTAAAGCACTGAACCGCAAGGGTCCGTGATGGACAGTATTCAGAAATATAATGTATTTTGGACTGTATCCTACCTAGAACCACAAGGGTCCGTGTTGAATATAGCAGAGCATTTGAAGTCATAATCTTTAAAAAAGTAAGACTNGACTGTATCCTACCTAGAACCACAAGGGTCCGTGTTGAATATAGCAGAGCATTTGAAGTCATAATCTTTAAAAAAGTAAGACTGCAGCCGAAACTGCGAATACTGATAAATGGGATCCAAGCAACATTTGAACTCTAAATTCCTGAAATTGAATAATTACAAAGTGGATAAGTGAAAATTTGAGATATAGGCGAGAGAGATGATAATAGAACTATTAAAATGCAGTACAAGAGCATACAAATGAAATCCATCATACATAATCTCCAATTAAAAGAACCTATAAGCTTGTTTCTGAAAATTCAAAGAGCACATTTGGCTAAGCCTAAAAAAAGTAAGAAGTGCTTAAAAGTTTAAGCTTAGACTTTTGTTTGGCTAAGCTCACAATTACTTTTTAAGTACTTTACTTGGTTTTAGGCTATGCCAAACTTGCTTTTACATCCCTCTTTAGGTATCTGATGATGGTGTTTATGGAAGAATAAATTGTACAATCAGTTGCTAGTTTTTGTACAGCATCTCACTGAAAGATCCAGCGTAGCTAAGTCAATCTTCTATTAATTCCTTTGTCTCATGTGACCACTCCCTGTTTAGCCTTTTATATTTTTTCTATTTAAAGGTATAGCATCTTTTTCTCTTTTTTCAGCACGATCAAACTGTACAGATACAGTGAAATTTAATAACATAACATATACATATGTGATTATGTTAGCATACCTGCTCATGCAAGCCCCCACATGAGAAAAAATTAGAGTTTATAAATGTCTTGACATTCAGATGAGATGTAAAATTATACTAGAACAATATTGTACATATCATAACATATTTCCAAAGGAAACAAGAAATATTTTAAGACCGCAAATAAAAAATAAATAAAAAAAAAAAAAAATACCTAATATGCACATATGGAGATACCTCAACCTCAAGCAGTCAAGCATTAAATCTTACTGAAATTTGCAATTAGGGAAAAAGTTCAAGTCGATTCATCATGAAGAGGGATGACTACCATAATTTTATTACTTCTTAAATAGATGCATTATAGCATGATTTCACACGCAATCAGAGAAGTTAAAAACAAAACTCAGCAGAGAGTAAATAAAACGCTATGAAAATTGTTTAAAAGCATTAGCTAATCAGGGAATGCCACAAAAGGAACTCTTTCAAACAATGATGAGCTATCTTTTTCTTTTTCTAAAGTGATGTGAATCCTTAATCAATATGGATTGGAAACGAAGCAAATTTAAAGATCAACTCTATGAGTAGATGATGGGCCAATCTAACTCATTGCAATTAATGTCATATCAGATGCTTTTGGTATGTATTTTGGTTCATGGGCTACATTTATTTATTTATTTTTAAATGTCCTCCGAAACCAACATGTCATACTATTGCCATAGTTCTCTTCCTCAGAAGCTTTTGCTCATTGTTTGATATTGATCTTCTCCTCATCTCCTAGATTATTTCTCGCTTCCTCGTGTTCCAGTCTTCATCTCACCTCTTCCTGAACCTTTTTAAATATTGGTGAGTAGATCATCAAATTAATGGCAGCCAAGTCGAGTTTGTAAGTCATAGAACAGAACTCTTCGGTGCACTTTTCAACACTAAGGTACCGTTGATGCAAAATATGGAATCATTCATACAAAGCAATCATATAACCATCCAGAAAAAAAGTGCTTTCTTAATTGTGCCTGCACCGATTCCCAACTATGAATTTTCACTGAATGTACTTTTCGCTCTTCTAGCATAGGCTTCCACTTTAAATAACTCAACAAGACAGCTTTGCAATCAAGAAATTTTTGTGTGCATTCTTACATTGAAATCTAAAATTTCAAATTTGAACTCAGAAACTGAGATAAAGAGCGCTGGCTAACCATTCTTCAAATCCACTAATCTCAAACTGGCACTACAAATTAGGATTTATGATAACTTTGATACCAAATTTGATGAAGAAACAAGCTTTACCCAAAAATTAATTAAAAGAAAGAACAAAATAAGTATTAGAGATACAGTTCTCCAATTTGTTATTTTGTCAGGACAATCAAGGCCTATTTTTTGGGCTCTTCAAACCTAAAAGACACAAAAACCTATTCTAACTATAGGAGAACTTAAAAAGATTAGGAGCCTAATTCTAGTCAGAAACCTGAATAATATGTTTGGCTCATGTTTAAAAACATTCAAGCCACTTCTTATCCACACATTTTGAGGATGGGTCCTATCCACCACTCATTTTTATCTATTTATAATTTAAATCATTTATAAATACTTTCCCGACATGCGAATTTAGAAGTCCACAAAAAATCTAACCTCTAACTGACTAGGAGTGCTAGTATCATTGTATCAATAAGGATTTGAAGAAGAGCTGCAAAT